TTGTTATCATTTTATTTTAATTATTATTGTTCTATTACAAAAAATATCTTTTTATTTTTATTTCTTTTTTAAAGATGATATAAATAAAAATATAAATTATTTAAAAATTTTTAATTTAAAAAATAAAAAAATAAAAAATAATCATTTTGAGATTAAAAAAATACTAAAATATGTAGGAAAACTTACCATGGTTTAACCAACCGCAAAAATCCTTATTGGTTTGACGGCTTAAAACAACTAAAAAGTTGTCAGTTAAAAAAATAATCGATTATAACTAACCCATTGATTGATCACATTTATAATCCATAGTTTTGTTGTTGATTGAAGAAAATATAATTGACAAGTTCAATGGTCGTCGGTCAAATATGACCAATTTATGCTTCGTTCGTCCATACTTGGCACAGACTTCGTTTGTACAATGTCTCTTGACAAATGTGAATTTATTAATTTTAATTAATTTTTTACATATTTTATTAATTTTAATTAATATTTTCACAGTCCGATGAAGATGAAGGGCAACAAACACCGGCTCGCAAAGAAGTGCATACTCGCAAGAAGTTACAAAATTCTGAGTACTATATAAATAAACTTTTAATTGGCTACGCTTGAATCATATGCCTAGATCAACAATATTACCTTATTGCACAGAAGAATGACAATGTTACAAGTAATCAGATGTTATTCATTTGGTAATTGCCTAGCAATGTCTCCAAGGAAACGGGTGAGGGACTTCTCGGCAACCATTATTTCTGCATCTATTTTCACCCTATCATTTTCCTCTGTAACACCTTGTCTTTTGTCTTTCATCGAGTGTACTCTACGTACAAGTTTGCGTAGTTCCTGTTAAGTTCAGGAGTGAAAGAAATAAATAGAAGATCAAAACACAATATGATTATGCATGTACTTGAATTGGGACAAATTTAGATGAGAAACATGAGTTGGGATTCTAATAAAATGAGTCAAGCCTAAAATGCTTAGATGAATTCATATGCACAAGTCTTAACTCTTTCCAATATCCAAGTACTCTTTCTTCCTTTTCCGGACGCAGGGAGGCTGCAATATCAATGAGTTATTATCATTATTTTAATTACCTGTCGATCAAAATCAACGCTGTTAATCGAATAAACTTCATTTGTAATTGTTATGTCCTTACTGATCAAGCCATCAAACCATCTACTTGCAATATTGGTGTGAGCTTGTGATACCTGAAAACAATGATCAGACAAGTTCAATGAGAACCATCTTCAGATATGATAATAACAATTCAAATTCTCTAGTGCGACATGACATGTAACTCAAAACTTGAATCTTTTCTCTAGTGCGACATGACATGTAACTCAAAACTTGAATCTTGCTAGACGTCCCTAAACAAAAATTTCTACCTACCTCATCTTCATCCTCACTTTCGGATTCCTCATCATCATCCTCATCTTCCATGATTTGCGGCTGCAAACTAGCTGGGTGCTGCAGTGTTATCTGATCACCAACATTCGCAGCTTGAATCAAAGTATCCATTAATTCAGGTTCTACTTCTCGCAGCAGTTTCCCTAACAATGATTTGGCACACAAATTAGAATCACATTCATCATAATCTCTAAACTTAGGAACTAAGGAATCATAAAATAACATTAAGATTGACAACTTCTTAATAACAACTTCAGAGTTTAGTGGAGGTTCCTAAATACATACGATTCAAGAGAGAATCTTTGTGTTAAATTAAGCGGATTTTCTTACCAATATAATTGAACTGCGTACGCTTTCCTTCTCGAACATTCGGTCCGAGTCTCTGCGGCAAAAATACAAACATCTTTAACAACAAAACACTAAATAATGCTCGGCAAAATGCAAAATTTTGCAACTAACCATTGAATTTCTAAGTTCTAAGAAGCACCTTCACTAACGTTAAAGCCTCAAATACTTCTTGTCCGAGAGCCGCCACTCTGCAAATCCATACAAATCATGAAAAGTTATGGCGGGCGGGAAAATAAATTTGCTGTTATTCGGAAAAAATTGAAGTATGACTCGCGCTTCTTCTGGTTGCGGCTTGTCTTCCCATCGGTATCCGAATCACCAGTCTCGCCATCTTCCTTTTGGAGATTAGGCAGCGTAGGAGAATTAGGCAATCTGAGTCCGCGCGACCGGTGACAGACGCTCCGGCGAGAGGAAGTATCCGTCGCGAAAGAGAAAGAATGCAAGGTGACTATAGTAGCTACCGTCACCAGTGAGGATGAGAATAGGAGGCGATCGAGCACTGTGAGAGAGC